TCAACGGTCCTTACCTGTGACAACTCGGTCCCATTTTCGCAACATCCGGCGGTTAGTGCTTTCCTCAAGGGTGCGGTTAACGCTCGACCGCCTGCGGTCCATCGTTATCCATCCTGGGACCTGCCTAAGGTGTTGCAGGCTCTGACTTCTCCGTTTGAACCTCTTAGTTCTTGTTCTTTTCATTTTCTTTCTTTGAAAGTGGCATTTCTAGTAGCCATAACATCGGCTAGGAGGATATCGGAACTGGCCGCACTCTCAGTTAGGAGTGATTTGTGTACCTTCTTCGAGGATAGGGTGGTCCTCAGATTGGACCCTTCATTCATTCCCAAGGTGAATGCCTTGTTTCACAGGACCCAGGACTTAGTTCTTCCTAATTTTTGTCCGGATCCTTCACACAGTCTAGAACGTCAGTGGCATAAGTTAGATGTGCGCAGGGCCCTGCGTTATTACATCAAACGAACATCGACCTTTCGCAAGTCGGAGGCCTTGTTCGTATCTTTTCAGCCCTCATCCATGGGTCAGAAGGTCTCCTCTTAGACCATTGGTAGGTGGATTAGGGCATGCATCGGCCGGGCTTATCTTTCTCAGTCACTCCCAGTTCCTGCACACATCATGGCTCACTCGACGCGCAGCGCTGCTGTGTCCGCAGCTTGGTCCACGCAAGCCTCGATTGAGGAGATTTGTAGGGCGGCGATGTGGTCCTCCCCTTCCTCGTTTGTCAGACATTATAAGATTGATAGGTTCGCAGCGTTTGGCAGACGGGTCCTACAACAGGTCGTCTCTTCTCAGGGGACACATGCCTAGACCTTCTCCCCCCCTGCAGGGACATGAGCGGCTTTGGTATGCCCCATCCAGTGGATTCTACACCCATCTTGCTGGAGAAGGGGCGTTGTCTTACCTGAACGCCTTTTCTCAGCAAGATGGTGTAGAATCCACACCCTCCCGTTAGGGCAGTCTAGGCAGGTGTCACGATGGTTGGAGCCATTACGCCAGACTTCGTCAGGGATGCTTCGCCTCGTCAAAACTGGGAAGACACATCCAGAGGGAGGCGTGGCCAAAGTTCTGACAGCTGTGCTATACATTAGTTGGTTTGTTTCTTGCAGTGAGCTGGTTCTTATATTTGATATTACAATATTGGCATCTTTTAATTCCTGTGCTAGTTGTTTCTTTGGAATAAGGTTCAACACAGGCAATCTTATTCAACCTATTCTCTGAGTGGAGTGTGGTAGATCCCTGCTTCTATAGATCTGGTGCTTAGTGCTTTTTTTGTGTTGCTATGATCAGTGCTAGATTTAAGTCCAGTCCTTTTCAGCCACTGGTAGGATTTCCCAGTGTCAACCACCTCAGCTGTCTGTTGATGGTGCATCCCATGTAGGGTCTTGTATTGCCAATGGCACTTCCTCTGCTTGATCTTCCTAGGTGTGCTGCTGCCTGAGGCATTTTCAAGCAACTCATCTTTGGGTGTCATTTTACTGATGTATTCATGGATGCTTTGGGTTACCTTTAGGACAATGACTTTGACATCAGACTCCACCTGCCCTCTTTTCAGTTGGTGTACAGCTGTTGGATGTGTTGGTCATGCTGACCAAAGTAATTTCTATAATTCTGTCAAGCATCAAAGAGGTTATTCTGCTTCAGCCATTATTATTTCTTACTTTGCCTACAGATGCAGGGGGGAGGGGGAATGCTTGGAATGCTCAGCGCACTTGCAAACGCTCCATACTGGGAACCAAGATCATCGAAGAACCGTTTGGCTGGGAACTGAATAATTTTCTCATAACAAATTTCTTACACTTAATGGGGAGTATGACCTGCACTATCAGATGGGAAGGGAGGTTCTACACTTTTAATTTACTGTTCTGGCGCTATTTTCGCCAGAGCTGGTTTTCTTTTCATCAGTGCCGATATGCTGTACTCAGTAAAGTTTTGCATTAGAGATTGGAATGTCTCAGCTGTGCTTACTTTGTTGGGATCATCAGTCAGAACCTTGACAGTTTCTATGTTAAATTGTGACTTTGGAGACAGATGTCTGAGGATGTGTCAGATAGCAACAAGCCTGTAAAAGGAAATTGCTCTGGCCTCTTTTGAAAATACTTGGAAAATACATTAGTTTTTTAAAATAAACTTTGCTGAAATTTCTTACAGTGAGAGAAAAAATTATTTGATCCCCTGCTGATTTTGTATGTTTGCCCACTGACAAAGAAATGATCAGTCTATAATTTTAATGGTAGGTTTAACAGTGAGAGACAGAATAACAATAAAAAAATCCAGAAAAACGCATTTCAAAAAAGTTATACATTGATTTGCATTTTAATGAGTGAAATAAATATTTGATCCCTTCGCAAAACATGACTTTATACTTGGTGGCAAAATCCTTGTTGGCAGACACAGAGGTCAGACATTTCTTATAGTTGGTCACCAGGTTTGCACACATCTCAGGAGGGATTTTGTCCCATTCCTCTTTGCAGATCCTCCCCAAGTCATTAAGGTTTCGAGGCAGACATTTGGCAGCTCCCTCCACAGATTTTCTATGGGATTAAGTTCTGGAGACTGGCTAGGCCATTCCAGGACCTTAATGTGCTTCTTTTTGAGCCACTCCTTTGTTGCCTTGGCCATGTGTTTTGGGTCATTGTCATGCTAGAATACCATCCACAACCCATTTTCAATGCCCAGGCTGAGGAAGGAGATTCTCACCCAAGATTTGATGGTACACAGCCCCGATACTCTTGTAGCTCATTCCAGCCTTGTGTAGGTCTACAATCTTGTCTCTGACATCCTTGGATAGCTCTTTGGTCTTGGCCATAGTGGAGAGTTTGGAATCTGATTGATTGATTGCTTCTGTGAACAGGCCGAGGTGTGGCGGGCTGGTCCTTCGCTGTTTCCAGAGCAGGTCCCCGGGCTGGACGGAACCACATATTGGGCTGGATCCAGCCCACGGGCCTTGTGTTTGACATGTCTGCTGTAGATGATTGTGGTATACGTGAACCGTATAGGAAATAGGAAAGCAAATATACTAGTACTAGTACTTGAGATTTTGAAATGTATATTTCTTCAGCATTTTAATATCTGATTGAGCCACTTTGTCTGAGGGTAATTGGGGTTGGTCCTCCTCTGCTACCAAGTTATGCCAGCAATTTGGAATGGCCCAATCTATATTTATTGATCTCTAGCTGCTTGGCTCCTTTTCTAGAGCAGGGTGAAAACTTGACTCCTGTTTAGAAGGCTAGTTTCTCGATGGTGACAAGTAATTTTAACAGGATACTTGCTTAACCATTCAGTATGGGAAAAATACCAATCCCTTCGTCCTTTTGTCTCTTATACCTCTGTCTTTCAGGTAGCTTGGCCCAAACCATGGGGTGGTAAATAGTGTTGGAGAGTGAGTTAGTCTGCCACTGCAGGTTGATTTTTTTCTCTGCATCTTGCAAAGGTGGTATTGTATAGTCCTGGTTGTTAAGTTGGTCTGGTGACTGCTGACTTTAGCTAAGGTTCTGTCTTGTTGTCCTCCAACTGAAGCTTCTGGCTGCGTCCAGCTGGAGTTCTCTACTGCTATTCCAGTTGAGTTTCCCCTCTCGGTTGTAGTCTTTTAGCTGTAGGGTAGTGTTCTAGTCTTTTGATTTAGTAATTATAAAGTTATTTAGTTTTGACATTTCCCTTATGGGAAAATCAGCTATTGTTAGCAAAGCTGTAATTTGCAGAACTATACCCTTTTTTGTCAATTCCATTCACCTTCAACCAGTTTATTGGCTGATATCTCTTTAGATCCCCACCATGGCCTAATAATGTCAGCCAGAGTCCACTGCTGTACACATCCAGTTTCTCCTACTGGCTAAAGCATCTTGTCTGTATGCCAATTAAGCTGCCTGCAGTGTTCCTTCTGAGTCCCACCAGCTGGCCTGACAGTCGAACCATCCACTTGAACCATCCCACGTAGACTTCCTGCTCTCTATCTTCAGTCATTTTCCTGGGACTCTGGAACTCTTCACTCACTCAGGAACAGATCAGAATCTTCAAGACCTTTGCCTTTGTCAACCAACACAACATCTGTAGCAGTTTTCTTTCACTGTCCACTAACACTAAACATAGCAGCCTTTGTGCTACCAATGTCAGCCACCATTTTCAGTCAGCCAACTTGTGTATTGTCTAGTCAGGTAGCCTAACTTTTCTTGTTCATGCTCATTGAAGGTAAATATGACTTTTAAGAATAAGATTGATATGTGATAAGAACAACTCAGGTATTTAGATTATTGAGCTGTCTTCTCACACTGTCATCTGTACCCAGGAATATGCTAGGGCAGATTATAAAGCAATTGATCTGTAAGCATTTTGAAGACAGTCTGGTTATTGCAAGAATTCAGCGTGGATGTACTGTCCCAGGCCAAGCATACATAAATACACGAAGAGGTGGTTTTGTTCTCTTTACTTAACAGGGCTGGTAAACACATGGACTTGCATTATAGAGAGAAGTTCAGCAAGTTTGATTTACAAGAATTCCAAATCAAAGCAGCACGTAGGAACAGAGTCAAGTGGAGTCCGGGGATCAGAGCTTATAGCAGATTTGTCAGCCAATGCAGGTTCCAAGTTAGGTTTGCGAGGTTCATGAGTCAAGGCTCATTGACAGGGAGCAAATGGGCAGTTCTCATCAATGGATAGCTTGTGCTTGTTGCTCCAGTGCTGCTTGTTCTTTAATAGAAGAACCCCCAGTGTAGTTCATTTAGCAGCATGAGACTCCTTAGAAATTTGGATTGTACAAGTTCTAATGGCACAAAATTGAAAAAGGATCAGTTTTGCACTATAAAATGATTGTACTGTTAGCTTGTCTTCATATAATTGTACAGGTATCCAGCATTAGAAGATATGGTAGTTTTAAATGTTAATTAAGGAATTTTATCTTCAGATTTTCTGAGATTCAGTTTTTTGTATATATGTTTATAAATAAATAATAATCTGCAATACAATGACTTTGCCTATAAAGATAAAAAAATGATTGGTTTTTCTCATAGAAGGTGGAGAAGAAGAAAAAGAATTGAATCCCATAGAAGAAAAGGAGCCCAACAAGGAGGAGGAGAAACCTCCAGAAAAATGTATGTATAGCAAAAATAAGAAATTCATACTGCTTGTGGGAACTATGTTGCACTGTTTTTGTACGTTGGCTATATTTCAGAATGGTGTGTATGTGTGTACTCTATTAACAGTGACTAAATGAATTCATTTGTTTCTTCCTCATTTCCTTTCCCTCTTCTATCTTCAAATCATGCTTTACAATTCTATATGTTCCAGAAGCTTTAAGTTTCTGTGTTAAAATCACTGCATTATTTTTGTGTAGTCCTATTTTTTAATTTTTATTTTATTCTGTCACTTGAAATATCTACTATGTGAAATTGCATACAATATGCTTAAAATACAGGAAAACACATTATCAGTGTGTTAAAAGTTTTTCATAGGATTGAGCTGCCTTTCGTTGTGTTAGTAAAATTACTAAGAGAGGAAATGTATTTTCAAGTTCATTTTAGTTCTCAAATTATTTAGCTGCCTTATCACTACTGAATCCCTAGATCATGCTAAATCTTGGTCATACAGAAGAGTCCTGTACATGCAAATATATGATGCAAGATTGGAACAATTATTAATTAGCGTATAGCAGTATATATTAACGTTTCATCTAGATTAGTAAAATACAATAAAATATGGATGTTAAAAAGATCTATGTTCAATTACCATTGTCTCTAGACCACAGGTCGGTAACCTATGGCCCCAGAGCCACATGCGGTTCTTTGAGCCTTCCCCTGCAGCTCCCAGCCTCCTCTGCCATTTGCAGACAGAGACAGAGAGAGGCACTTGCGCTTCCCTTCTCTCTCTCTCTCTCCCCCCCCCTCTCTCTCCCTCCCTCCCTCCCTCCCTGTGTGTGTAAAAGAGAGAGTGGCCTCACCCTGTTCCATGAGCTGACAAGTTATTGGGCGGGGCTCCTGCCTTGGCTGCGTCTCTGCAGGAAGCAGGAACGACAGGAGAGAGCTAGCTAGCCCAGCTATGCTGACTCAGGAATTCTGGGAGTTGAAGTCCATGAGTCATAAAAGAGCCAAGGTTGCCTACCCCTGAGCTAGCCCAATAAGAATGTGTGTCAGCTTGTTGGAGAACAGCTTGAAGTCAGCTTGTCAGGTGAGCAGAAGATCGGAGAGAGGGAGAGGAAAGAGGGACAGAAAGAGAGAGAGAGGAAAGAGAAAAAGAAAGAGAGAGGGAGAGGAAAGAGAGAGGGGGAGAGGAAAGAAAAAGAGGGAGAGGAAAAAGGGAGAAGAAAGAGGGAGGGGGAGGGAGGGAGGAAAGAGGGGGAGAGGAAAGAGAAATGGGGAAGCGCAAGTGCCCCCCCTCTCAGTGTTTTGTTTTCGGTGGGAAACGGGTCCAAGTGGCTCTTTGAGTATTTTGGGTTATCTACCCCTGCTTGAGACCATCGAATCATTGGTGCAGCATCGGTTATATTTTTAAAAAATCAGATACTGGACCAATATATGCCCTCAGCCTACAGCCGGACACAATGTGATCTATAGTTTGACATGGGACCCTGCAGTCACACTGAGGGGAGGATACTATGTCCCATGTATTCAGAGAATTCCAGGCAGATGCCATGTAAGATGCAAATCCTATTCAGGATTGTCAATTGCTGACGTAGTAGTTCAAAGCCTGGCACCTTTTTGTGGGGTCATTTATATGTCTTCCTAAATCTGGGCATTCAGCAACCCATTTGGCTTTCCATTGGGAATCGATGTTAAAGTTGTTGGAGAAATGTTATGCAAGTGCCAGTCGAGGCTTCCTGGATTTGAGTCTTATGGCTGATAAATGAGGAAGGTCGGCATGCACTGGTAGGAATGAGTTATTCATTTTTTTTTTCCTGTATTCTCTCACTAGTGCATTTTGCTTTTGTAAAGCTGGCGGTGCTATATGGTTCAGAACAAATGGAACTACATGGCAACAAATAAATAAATTGGGGTCATAGCGAAATACATGAAATGAAATGAAATACATACATGCAGATAAACACTTAAATGAGAGAGTTGTTCCAGTAGATTTTCCAGCCCTATTTGGAGACTTTCCTAGATGCAAAGTAGGTGTTCTGCCACTGACATTGCATCTGCAAGATGCTGCCAGTTTTTCCTACTGAATATTATTATTTTAAGAAGCCTAGTAACATCATGCCTGATTCATATTCACATTATTCCTAGTGAACCAAAGAGATCATATGTTGCCATCAGCTTGCTCAATGTGGTGGAATAATTGTGACCCTTTTTAATATTTCTATCTTAATTTTTATAAGCATAAATTTTAAAAATTAATCTCTTACATTGCACACTCAGTGTTGAGAATTATTGAATAATTTTTCATTTATTATGAACAAAGAAAAATAGACATTGTTTCTCTTTGGGTTTTTAAGAGTATCACATCCTTTTTTAATTCTTTCTCATATTTTGGTGAAGCTGAATTACTTGAGTTTTTTCGCTTTTGTTGAGAGAATCATGATCTTGAAAAGGGCAACTAAGAAGTCTATAAAATCAAAATAAATTTTAGGTGAGGCATCAAGAAGAAAGCGTTCTAAATCAGAGGATATGGATAGTATCCATTCTAAACGCCGGCGGTATCTGGGAGATTTTGAAGCAGAATTTGAAGTAAAAATTACAACCAAAGGAGATGTTCATCAGAAACTTGAAAAGGTAAATATGAGATTCTTGATTTGTGCATTGTAGGTAATTTGCCTTTTAATTTAAAATACTTTCTATTTGTTCCAGGTATATTAAAATTTTAAAATCCTTAATCGTGAAAATAAATGCTTGGCAGGATTATGCTTTATTAAGAAGAAAATTATATTTCGGAAATGCTGCTATGTTCCATTGTTCTTGCCTGAGTCGTATTTCTTTAATTCATTGGCTGAATAACAAACCCATTCTTTTTACCCACGAGATCTGAGCATTTTTTTTGGCTATCCCTGTCCAGCCTGCGGCAGTGGTGTAGGGGGGCTGTGGCAGAGGTGGAGTGGCCCTCTACAACAGTCCCAGTTTTTGAGGTGGCCCTTGGGATAAATAATAGCAATAGCACTTAAGATTTATATACCGCTCCATAATGCTTTACAGCACTGTCTGAGCAGTTTACAATGTCAGCATATTGCCCACAACAGTCTGGGTCTTCATTTTAGCGACCTTGGAAGGGTGAGTCAACCTCAAGCCCATCAGGATCAAACTTCAGACTGTGGTCAGAGTTAGCTTGCAATATTGCATTCTAATCACTATGCTACCAGGACTCCTAATTAATTAATTAAAAATTAATTGTCCATCCCTGCTCTAGATTAAAGAAGGGCATTTTGGGTGGACTAACCAAAACCTGATTATTAAAGGATTAAGAGTAAATTTCATGGACTCCAGAAAACCAAAACCAGGCCTCATTTAATCACTAAGCACTCTCGGTTCATTGTTAAAATTTAGTCCAGAGCGAACACTTTTCCACCACTGCTGCTGCTGTTAACTGAGCAAGGAATTCCAAATTGCTGCTGCCACCATGTTACTAAAGAATCTACAACAGGTGATCAGTGGTGCTTCAGAGATAGAACAACACCATCAAAAAGATGATCAGTATCACTAGTATAAATTTTTACCTGCTGTTGTCCCTGTTGCCACGTTAGCAGCCATGATCTACAGCCATATATATGGCCCTGACCAGATCCCATTCATTTGCAGGCCACGGGCAACTCTACTTTCCTGGTCTTCCAGAAGGCTATTTTCAAGGTTTTATGCTCTACCAGTTCTGAGAACAGCTGCTGCCACCATGCCACCCTCCAACACAGTAAACAGTGGTCTATCGTAAATGGTGGTTTATCTTACACTATCTACAATATCATACACCAGGAACAATATACATACACATGCTAATACAACAGGATCCAACAAACCACAGTTACAGCAGGAAATGGAAGAGAGAGAACACACAAGCAGAGCCTTCCCTGTGTCTTAAAGAGACACAGACCCTGCTGAGTCATTCCCATCATTACATCTTATATCTTATATTACATATACTGGTTAGCTGTTAAATGAATACCTTGACAAAAATGCTTTTAGGCTTTTAAGTTTCTGTTTCTATAGTCTATTTCAATAAAGTAGAAGTCTAGTATCATGAAATCCATTTCTTGAGTGGCATACCTAATTCATTTTAGTGCTATTTTTTAAAAAATGTATGGACTATTCACAAATGTGTTGTATAGAGTCATTTCTGGTGGAAAATAGCAAATTGATGCCTGCTCATAGCTCGGGGCATTGTGGCCAGAAGGCAGTTGAATAAGAGATCCAGACTGCCATATATTTTTTCTGAATTAAAGAGAGATCTTAAGATCACCCTCATGCATTCTGACGTAGGAGTTTTGCAAGTTGATGGCAGAAATTGATGTTATTATGGTCACGATCAGCTGGGAATCACAGATTCCATCATGCTCTGAGCCATCAATGCAGCCTTTTCAGGATTCAAAGTTCAAGCAAACCTCATCATCATTACTTGGGATATTAATATTTTACAGTCTTTCTTAAAGATTGAAAAATCTTCATAATCACAAGTCTAGCATTCACTGGGCGAGTTTTCAATCTGTTTAAGAAGGAAGAAAATTACATTTTTCCAGCTTTGTATTTTTTTTTAAATATACAGGAAAAGGATGATTATAGTGTTATATCAAGAAAATTTTAAAATGCTAAGAGTTTAAATCAATGAAATCAATTTAAAGAAATACTTTGAAGTGAATTAAAAAGATGCTCTCACATGTGAACCTCTCATTCCAAGCTGATAACAAAACTTTGAAGGTTGATCGCTAGAGACTACCAAATGACAACTTAAAAGGAAACATTTGATATTTGAATCAAAGAAATTTTTGAGTTATTTTAATTCTGTATTGGAACCAAAAGCTGTTGAACAAGTTTCATTGAATTTAACTGAAATGAACTTTAACATAGACTTAAAAATTATTACTTACAAGAAGGAGATGTAAATATTGGATTTATAAATGGAATTGGATAATCATTTAAAAATTGAAAAGAAATTACAAACTATCAAAACAGTGATTTCCTTTAAATTGGAATATAAGAGATTTACTGAAATTTATTACAAGGAAATTAAAAATAGACATGGATAAAAATAAGACTTTTGATAGAACAGGCGAGGACCGTAGATAAAAGCAAAAGTTAGAATTTTATGTATGGAACCTAAGGGTTTCTGGGAGGAGGAAGAAAAAAAATACAAAATTAGCTTACTTGATTATAATTAAATAATGGGTTGGTATCTCTGGTGATTTTTAATGGTTATTTTGACTGTATAGTTTTCTTTAGGAAAATGGTCAATTCAGTATAATGGGTTGATTTGCAATAGCTATGTTATTACTTTAATATAAAAATAAAGGGATACTATGGTAATGTTTAATAGCTCTTAATTTTTTTGTAATGTTTAATTGTTAATTGGAATTAGATTTTGATTATTAAAGATAGGGATTGGGAAATTGGGTTTTAAATACTGTAGATAGTGGAATTATATATTTATATTGTTAGGCATTTCTGTTAACTTTTTCTGGATCTTTACTGATTAATAATGTGAGCTGAGGATTTAGAGATAAGTTTACAGGTAATCCTTGACTTATAACCATTTGTTTAATGACAGTTCAAAGTTACAATGGTACTGGAAAAAGTGACTTTATGACCATTTTTCACATGGCTGTTGCAGTGTCCTATGATCACATGATCAAAATTCAGATGCTTGCCTACTGGCATATATTTATCATAGTTGCTGTGTCCTGGGGTCATGTGATCACCTTTTGCAGCCTTCTGACAAAATCAATGGGAAAGCCATTCATTTAACAACTATGTTACTAAACAACTATGTTACTAACTTAACAACTATAGTGATTCACTTAACAGTTGGAGCAAGAAAGGTTGTAAATGAGGCAAAACTCATTAAACAACTATCTTTGCTTAGTACCAGAAACTTTGGGCTCAATTGTGGTTGTGAATCAAAGAAAACCTGTATAGAAATGGGGTGTGATAGAGCAGGGCTTTTCAACTGGTGGCACTTTGACACCTGGCAGGTGGTACACAATCTAGACAAGTATAGTTGGGGGGATGAGCTGAAGCGGCAGCGCCCCATAGGCCTGGGGGAGAGTCAGCTGGAACTGCGTTGTTGCCGGGGTTCTGCTGAGAGCTGAGGATTGACATGTAGCTCCAGCTGATTGGCACTTCCGGCAGCCTCTGTTATCACCAGGAGCAGCAGACAGGCCTTGGGGTGAGAAAGTCAGCTGGAGCTGCAGGGCTGCCAGGGCTCACCAGAGGCCCCAGGATTAGAGTGTGCAGCTCCAGCACTTTGTGCAGTGGCCAGCTGGGGAGTGGGTGACTGCATGGGAGAGTGGGACTGGAGTAGCGACCGATGCTGGAGTTGTCCCTAAGCCCCAGAGAGTGGCGTCCCCGGAAGAGAAAAAGACGAGGGGGGGGGGAGAGGAGAAGATATAAAAAGAGGAGGTTTGGGTGGAAGAGGGAGAGAGAAAAAATGGGGAAAGAAGGGGACGGAGAAAGAGGGGGAGAAGGGGAGAGGTTTCTGTGAGACAAACAAAGGGATCAACGAAGGATCAGAGGCTGTGGAAGGAGAGCCCAACAGGCAGTGAAAGAGAGAGGAGAGGGAGAGAGGAAGAAGGGCCAACCAGCCCCCTGACCACCAAGATAGTAGTGCTTATTATAAATATGAATACATTTGTCATACATTTGTCAGTGCAAAGGGAAAGTGATTCAACAAAGGAACTGCCACCGAAGAAATTAAAACCAGCATGTCATGTCCTAAAAGTGGTACAATCTGTGAAAAAGTTGAAAAGCACTATGGTAGAGAATGAAGTTACTTATATTTGGTTATATTTTAAGAAACAGTGATAAGTTGTTAATGTCAAATGCACTTGCTGGGCACGAAGGAGAAAGTTTCTTTTGTTTTTCTTTCCTTTTTGCAGGGGATTTTTTTCTGCACTTTTTAAGTATTTTATTTTTTTACGTATTTTTGTGATTTATAGGAAATATATTATTCAGATGGTTTTGGGAAATAAATCTGATGGTTCACTTTCAATTATATGTTTCATTGATTTCAGGGATATGTTTTTCAATCTAGATGTGTATTTCAATTTTATTAAAGCCAATGGAAAATATCACCGTGTGGTAACTTATACTTTAGCTATTTTTAAATAACCTCTCTTTAGTAAGCAGATCTTGCAATCTAAACTCTTCCAATAAGAGTAATTTTATCTAGGCTTAGATAGTACCATAAAAAAAAATCAGTCTAACAAATATTATAAGGGTTTGCTGACCTTCATTTAAAATACCGTGTTTCTCTGAAAGTAAGGCCCTGTTTTACTTTCTTTTGGGCTCTAAAGTAAACACTAGGATTTACTTTCGGGGAGGGCTTACTTTTTGCCGCTACTAGAATATTAGACCGCGTGAGTGGGTGGGGCGGGACCTGTGCATGGGGTGGAGAAGTAACGTGGCGGCGAGAGCATAGTGGTGGACCATGTATGGCACCAGAGCGGGGCAAGATTCTGACAGATTCTGCCCCCCTTTCCTTGTGTCTGTGGTGAAACCAGACGGAATCGGCAGCAGACCGTTTGTGCAGGCCCTTAAGTAGGGTTTACTTTCGGGGGGGAAGGGCTTATATTAGGCCCACCCCCCAAAATCAGCTGGGGCTTACTTTCGGGGACGGGTTTACTTTCGGGGAAACATGGTAACAGGGAAGTGATAAGTGAGGGTGTAAATTAAAAATAGAATTCACTAAATGTGTCATCAATGCAAATATATTCAAGATGTGTTTTTCTTAGATAACTATATACAGTAAGTAAACAAAAATTTAAATTTTATTTCATTTTTACTTAAAAGTTAAAACATTTTTATGATAAAATTTAAAAGAAAATTTAATCTCAACTAGCTACTCTTTCATTTATATTTTTACAGGTCATCCATCGTTTTCTAGAAGAGAAATTTAGTGCCATGGAGTGTGCTTTGTTTGATAAAACTCTAGAAGATTTGAAAACCAGGGTAGATAAGATTGAATGCAATAAGAGACACAAAACTGTCATTACAGAATTACAGGTATTTATGCATATATGTTTGAGACTTAATAGAATTATTCTTCTTCCAATATTAAAATGCAAGACATCTGTTAATTAAAGTATATTTTGCTCAGAGAAATATCCCCATTTATATTTGCATGATTTTTGTTCTTTGTTTCAAAATTAAACCTAACTTCATTTTTATGCTAGCTGCTTGCATAAAAATATCATATCCACTGTTTACTTTGTTAACATAAGACTAGAATAGCTGAATATGTTCAAGGCCATTTTTCAGTCAACCTTCTTTCATTCAGCTCTCAAATTTGATTTGGATGATATTTTAGCTATTCAGAAGAGGTACAGGCGTATAGCTGGGAAAAAAACTCCCTTTCTGTTCAATATGTAGAGATCTCTCATCCAAATGTTTCGCACTGAATGGAACTGCAGTTAGTTGTGAAAAACAACAGCAATGTATCACAAGAAACTCTGACTATTTAGGCAGAAAATGAATCTGGCACATAAATATGCAATCTACAGAGGGGAAACAGAGTGTCAAGAGAAAGGAGAGAAATTTGCAAAATCAGCAAGTATTTGAGCTGGAAAAGGTATTTTTGGAGATAAACTTAAGAATGCAGAGTCACTTGACAGACTATTTATTTGCAGAATATTGCATGGATAATGTTTCTTATACTTTTCTGACTCATACTCATTCTGATAGTTCTAATTTGGTGATATCAGCACTTTCCTGCCAGTCTTTTTTTTTTAATGGATTCAGCTCACTCTGTGTTGCCAGAGGTTGTAGATGCTATTCCTAGAAGGAGGAGGAACAGCACATTGATCTAGACTGATTATAATTTTATGTTATTTCTATACCACTCTTCCTCCACAGGATACTCAGAGCAATGCACAAAGCCAGAATAATAGAATAATATTCAATAAAATCATCACCATGAAACAAAAAAGCAATAGTATTTAGCAATAACAGAATTTAAAATAAAATTCATTTAAACAGACTGTTGTTGCCCTATAAATGCTTTCATGAACAAGAATGTCTCTATTAACTGAAACAAGGCATTGGGGGGGAAAACCCTAAGAGAAAGTTAATAAATTGGGATATTGTCACTAAAAAAGCCGAACTCCTAGTCACCACAATGAATACTATATTTACAGGTTTGATCTTAGGATATTTCCAATATCTTAATTGGATGTATGGTATTAGAAAAATAGACTTTTGACTGCTTTAATCTTCTTACGGTTATATAAACTAAATTTGACATCTTGAATTGGTCTAGTACCTTACAACAATCCATGAACTCCTTTAAAGATTAATGCTATGGAATCCCATTTGGTTGATCTGTGTAACCATCAAACAGCTGCATTTTGCGTCAGCTGCAGTTTCCATCTATGCTGGTTGCCTGACATGAAGTTTGTCTCAGGACATTTGGAAAGACACGGAAGCGAAGCCAAATTTGGACATAACTTGCACTGACAGTTTGTAGAGGTTTGCTGTTGGCTGTATGTCTTCCCTCCCCTGCCATTAACTCTTCTAGTGTAAGTTTAGTGGAGTTAAGGGTGGTAGGGGGGAGGGAAGGGTACCATCTTGCAACGAAAGGAAAATAGCTTTGTCAGCATCTGAGAAAAAGATGGTCGCTTTTCTGCCATGTAGCCCAGCCTGTTCTCTTTTCCCATCCTGACATCTTGAAATCTGGAGATCTTTGAACGATTAGTGAGCAACCAGCGATAGAGGGTTGGGGCAGAGAAGGCCCAAGCATGACATATCTCAGTGGAAGGAGGTCTTGGGTGGCCAGAGGCAGATGGTCTTGTTCCTGCATGATCTTTCCCACTCTTGAGGTATCCCATGAATACTTAATGACTCATGCATTTGATTAATGAATGCTTTGGGGAGAGCAGGGATGAGGCTCATTCATTTAGCATGATTCATTTAATATTAAGACTGTAATGGGCAGGCTCCATTACAGTTGTACTCAAGGACTACCTATATTTGTTCATTCAGAGCAAATACAGTCTCCTTTTCCATTCTGGCTAATAAAAGTGCTGGACAGGGAATAGCTAAATGGAGCAGTGTTATGACTAATGCCTCTTCTCATTGTAGCATGACATTCTTGTAAAGTGGATAGAAGTAAAACCACATTTTTAAAAAGCCTCATTGGTTTTTCTTGATGAAACCAACACTATAAAACTGAACTACAACATTAATTTATTGAGACTATATTTCATTTTTATTTTCCTTTCTCTTATTTTGAGGCTAAAATTGCAAGATTGACAAAACGTTTTGGAGCAGCTAGAGAGGACTCAAAGAAAAAAACAGAAGTAAGGACAGAACTTTTATTATATTGTTGATTGACCATTAAGCTCAAAACTGTTATAAGTAACAATGCAAAAATTTAGTATAGTAGTAGCTTATTCATATATGTTTTAACTAAAATACAACAATGGAATCAGATGCATTCTTTTGTATAATTATGGATTGATGTGTTAACTTGGAGAAGTTATTGGATACGCATAAATTTGTGGACTTATATCGCTAAATTGAAATGAGATAAAAATCTCTTGGGGTTTCCCAGTTGGAGTAAGATGAATGCCATAGTGAAGTTTTATAACTTTGAAGTCAGTGAAGTTTACATTGAATGTTTAGCTGTAACTGACAGATTAGTGTGATCACTTGTTAATACCCACAATATTTAGCTAGTACACTATAACTCCTCTTATCTACTGAGTTTTCTAGAAGGAAATTAAAGGATTAAATATTTTACCACTAAAATTTATTCTTGATTAAAACTAATGTTATTTTAATTTAATTTTAGTTTTTAAATCATTACATTAGGCATAGCCAACCTGTGGCTTGCAGTCCGCATGCGGCCCTGGACAGCTAGAATTGTGGCTTTATTTATTCCAGCCCGCCAGCTGAATTTCCTTGACTGACAGGAAGCAACATACCTCCTCTACCAGTGTGGGTGGGGTGGGCCAGTCCCATATATATACATTAACTATCTTATATATTTTATATGTGGCCCAAGATCATTCCTCTTCACTCAGTACAGCCCAGGCAAGCCAAAAGGATGGACACACTTGCATTAGTCCATATTTCTATGTATCTTTCAGAACTAATTGTACTACAAACTTATTTGAAGAAAGCAGAGCATTCATAATTCTAACATATCTTCATATTTGTGAGCTAGGGAAAAATATTTCCAAAAACATGCTTAAATATCTTAACTTTTAAAATGAGAATGGGAAATCTAAACACCTCATCTTGATACTTCCTGATAGATATGTACTATTGCTACATTAATACATTATCAAGCAGCAGGATTGTTTTGATAGTTTAGATATGTCAGTTCATATGTCAGAGACTTTAAGGGAGAAAATATATTTATATTGTATCATGAAATACAATACTGCACTTATTAAGGAGGACTTCAGATTTTCTGGAACAGAAGTGTGCCTAAAATAGAACGATCATTTGTGAAGTACAAAATTTAAGTTGCTGATCTCAAGTTGGTTTGTGTCACTTTGTAGATTCCACAGAACACACCCCATTCCCCAGGAAAAGCAGTGAGTGATACTGGCAGTGTCAACAGTGTGACATATCGGTAAGCTGTAACTCCCTAGTTATTATACTTTTTTTCTTTGGAAACTTAGTTATAATTGGAAAGATAAATTCTACATAAAAGTATAATATATTTTGATGGCAACTATATTTCACATCTTATTTATAAATGTGCCTTTTTTTTTCTGTTACCCAAATATATGTTAATTCATTCTCTTGGTGAAAAGCATAACTAGGCATGGGGAATTCTTAGGGCAAAGTTGAGCAGCCTGTAGTCTTCAACTCCCATATGCCTTAGTCACTGAGAAATAATGGCAATTAGCATCACAAAATATGAAGGTTGGAGATTGCTTGTTTTAAACAGAGAAATATGTTTTGGTTTTTTAATTTCTTATATTGCATATATAGTAGGTATGTAGAATTCACTGATATTGTGAATTATTTAGAAAAATTGAGTAATAATAAATTATTTAAATTTAAAAATAATTTTCTTTTGGACTTCCTGCTATAGCTCCTCTACTTGATACAGCTAACATAAATCTTTGTTCTGTAGAAATGCTGGCACAGTAAGACAGATGCTGGAGTCCAAGAGAAATGTAGGAGACACTTCATCAACTACTTTTCAGTCCCCTGTGAATACAGGTAAAATCTATCTCAATTATATATATTATTACTTTTATGGCACATTTTTAAAAATCAAATAAGTAAAAACTGACTTGATATAATTCAGCCAAGCAGAAGTGGTTTAGGTGAAAATAACATATGCTGTCCTAGGTAAATCCGGTGGTAGCATCAAACAATATATGATTCTTAAAATGAAGTACTTAGAGTCCTGTCCTTAAACTTAATATATAGTTTTATTCTTAATGTATCCTTAAACATTCATAGAACCAGTTTGAACACCATATAGAATAAGCTAGGCTGCAGCACTTTGTACTAGTGGAATTTCACATCAGCTCTAAAACTAAAATAAATCAAACACAGTTTTGACAAAGATGCTTTGTCAAAGAAAGAAAAAGGGTAGCATTTAAAAGAAAATTAAGCATGCTTCCATACACAGTTTTTGAGGAGTGTGTAACTTTTGGAGAGTTCCTATTGATCACAGCCTTTGAATTGCATGTTGGATACTACATTTCAGTAAATAGGAAGGACTAGGATAAAACAACTGGACAGTAATGTAAATTTAAGCTTTTATGCTGTTTCCATTTACCTAATAATAACTACAAAATTAAAAATTATAATATGATGCTAACGTTTGGAGACACTTTGGACATATCCAAAGCTTCAGTGGAAAGTCAAGAGCTCTGAGGATTGAGGTTGACATTTATTAATTGGTATTTTTTACCCATAAAGTAATAGCTGCTCTTTACAAATCAATCATTGATTTGTAATAATAAACTCATAGATTACTATTGATATCCTTGATCGCATAATGAATCAGTATAAACATAAGTTACTAACATTGTGCCACTGTAGAAGGTCGAAATAAAAACAGTAATTATAGTTTCTTCACGTTAAATGCAACATTTAGTGGAATAGATCCTGAGCTCCCTACCTTTTTCAAAGTTTGGTCAGAAAAAGGCAATCTCTGACATAATTAATCCCTATTTGAAACAAAATAAGAATTGAATAAGGCCTAGAAATTAATTATTGGACAGTGCTTATGCTTTAAATAGATGACAAAAGATAGTTTTGTATTACTTGTCTGAATATATAAGGAAAATATAATGGCAATGAGAAAGAAACGTATGTACATATTCTTACATTTTAATTCTTTAATTATTTGGCATTGAGACAAAAATACTTGCATTATAAAGTATTTCTGATTCACTTTTTGTTGAGAAAGCATCTTCATGGCAAATTAATATTTCAAAGCAGTTTAGAAATTGAAAAATATTTTCTGTCTTTTCTTTCCTGCTGTTTTTCTGCTAAACATCACTAAGCTTTATATTTTTACAGATACAGTGAATTAGGTTTGTATATAACACTGGCTAAGATATTTTATGTTTCCCATTGGAAATTAGATACAATTCCTTCAAGAATTCCTTTAAAAAGACTGGTAAACTATGCTCTGGAAATACACGTGAAAAATAACATTATATTTTTACAAAATGTCTTGATACTAACTTTAACTTGGAAAACATTTATGATTTATAATTCTGCAGATAGACTTCTGAAGTTTGGTTTCTCTTAAAATCTTGAAACAATAAATTCTGATTGATGATGAAGGATTGTTTACGTTAGAAATTCTTGTAAATTTTTATTATTTTGACTTAATATTTGTACTTTTTTACTTGATTCGTACTAAAATTTCAGATTGATTTTACTTGTTTGAATACATTATTTCATTTACTGTTATTGGTAGAATAATAAAGGAACATTTTTATTTTATTCATCTAATTTCTATACTGCTCATCTCATCTATGTGACTCTTCATGATTCTGCCTGATAATTTATTTTTTTTAACATTTTGCATTTGTTGAGACCTTGGAAAAAGTTCAGAGAAGAGCAACTAAGATGATCCAAGGCCTGGAGACTAAAACATATGAAGAACGGCTGCAGAACTTGAGTTTGGTTAGTGTAAAGAAAAGAAGAAATAGGGGTGACATGATAGCAGTATTCCAGTATTTGAGAGGCTGCCACAAAGAAGAGAGGGTCAAATTATTCTCCAAGGCACTAGAGGGCAGAATAAGAAACAATGGTTGGAAACTGATCAAAGAGAGAAGCAACCTGGAATTAAGGAGAAATTTCCTAACAGTGAGGACAATTAACCAGTGGAACAGCTTGCCTTCAGAAATCATGTGTGCTTCATCACTAGAGGTTTTTAAGAAGAGACTGGACAGTCACTTGTCTGAGATGGACTAGAAGACATCCAAAGTCCCTTCCAGCTCTATTCTGTTTTATTCTAAATTCCACAGGACAACAAAGATTTTGTTTCTTGAACAAATTTGGATGTGTCTTAAATATTTTTGGCTGCTAGTCATGAAAATAACCTATAATTTAACCTATCGTGCTGGTTTTAGAAATCTTCTGTTTTTACATAGTGGCTATGTACACCTTTCAGTACTTGTGGGCTATCCTGGACACATAAAAGAAACATAAAGTATACCAAGTACAACTGGAATATCTTTGGAGATTTAAAAGTAGTGGTTCTGTCACTTGGAATACAGCTCAGCCATTACCAAGTATTGCTGTTACATATGCGAATGGGACAACTGTGCAAGAGAGTTGAATTACATTAAAAAGAAATGGCCACTGTGAAAGAATTTGGTTCCAGGATAGAAAAACATGGTGTATAATGAACATTTTGCCTGTTTCACATAAAACTGAGACTGATGAAAACCTTTGTGAAAGCAATGAACAAGGAAGGTGAAGGTTTCTGTTATTTAAGACATACATCTTCAAGAATAACTGAGACCAAGCTTAAGGAAAATATTTTGCTTTGTCCAGAGATCAGAATCATCATAATCAATGACAAATAGTTCAAAGATCTGTTAGTGGGAGCAGAGAAAATCACTTGAAAAGCATTCAAGAATGTCATTGCATTTTTTCTTTGCAGCTATAGTGCACCAAGCTACATTCAGCAGATTGACTAAACTTACAGTGTACAGAGACCTTATAGTGGAACATGTCACTGAAGATTCATTTTCTGCATTCACACTTAGATTTTTTTAAAGGTTTTATTAATTTTTAAGAATTACAATATTTAGAGCTTAGTAAACACCATGTTGTCTGGGTTCACATATTTAACATTAACTTCTTCAATATAAGTCTATTCAGTACTGCACACTCCAGTATTTTTTCCCTGATCCTCCTTTCTTCCCCATATTTTTTCCATTTTCCCCTCATTACACAATTACAATTCTTGGTACTACATACAGTGTTAGATATAAACATCTTCATCATATTTTACTAATATTATACAAATAATAATATCAATTCATTAATCAATATCTTGTTTTTCATGCTCTTGTTAAGGTTTAATTTCCCATCAATATTTAAAGTATCTTTGTCAGTTATGATTTTCTCAATATTAATTACATTTAAATAGCTAAATATTTTATTCATACCAATCCTCCTCTTATTTTCATATTTCCCATATCAAAAGAAGAGAAAAAATGCTATTTTAATTCTAAATCATATATTTCATTATAAAAGTCTAATTATATCTAAGGGTCATCCATTCTTTTAACCATATTCAACCAAGTACTTAAACATATGATGCCCCCTCTAATAGGTAAATCTTCTGTTTTTTAAATCTAACTCTCACTTTCTTTCTTTGCCAAGTAGCTTTCCAAACCAAGGCAATTAAATCACCCAGGAATTTTCTTTCTATTTTTATGAAAGTTGCTTGGCATGAGGAAGATAATTTAGGTAGGGTATTTTTGAGGGGGAATTCCACCCATTTATGTTCCTTAAGCAACTCCCACCTTCCTCAATTTCTCTCCTCATCTTTTGTCTCCCAAATTGTAACATTTTCCCTGACAGCTCTATGTTCCATTCCCCAAAATCATCTTCCTTGTCATCAGGTGCATTTTGCAAGCTTAAAGGATAAAGGATCTTTTGCAATTTCATTGTTATGGGTAAGTCTTGTAGTATTTTATTTGTGTATAGTAGTTTATATTTCCCTTCTTTCATTTCCTCTGTCTCTAGATCCATTTCCTCTGCTTCATCTTCTGATCTCTGGTTTATTTGTTCATACTTAGTAGTCGTTGTCTGGGAACTTCCTAGTTGTAGATTTAATTTGGAAATTTGCTCATTTATATCATCTAAATTATTTTTAGTCTCATTGTGGTTTTTTTTATGCAACAATTGTTTGGTCAATTGGTTGTAGAGTATATTTCCTTCTGAAAGGTATTTGTTTTTTCTTGAGGTATCATTCCTGGAGATCCTCTAATATCTCCAGTCTCAGTAAAAGTAGAAGAAAGTTTCCTCTAGCTTTCTGGTCTTTATATGCAGCTTTTACAGTCCAATCAATTTTAGAATAAAGGTCAAGTCCCAAAAGCAATATTTTATCTCAGGCATCCAAAAATTATCAGTCGGGCAAGGTTATAATCCACAATGTTCAAAGTATTCAACCTCCCTGAAAACAGCTCAAAAATCTTTCCCAGCCAGATGTAATCAAAGATCAAGTTTTTCTTTCTCTTCCACTAGCTCTTGAGATTAAAAGTCCAAGCTCAGTGGGTGTTTATAGTCCAACAAGGTCAGGATGATAAATATGCCAAAATATTTTCCTTTATTGCCAGTTGTTCTCCCTTAGGCTAGGAATCACTAAGCAGGCAGGAAGCTAGTTATAGTGCTGAACTCCGATCCACCACTAGATGTCATTCAAAATCCATTTTCCACTCTTAAAACAAAGGATTGATTTCTTATGTTTCACCTCAATGGTTTTTTTTTCCAGAGAGAAAATCTTAACAATTATGTTCTCAAATTTCAAAACTGCAGCTTTATGTTACTTCCACTTCAGTATTTTGTATTTCTGTCCCCCATAGAAATTAAAACGCCGCTTCTATTCACATTTGGAGGTTTTTAACTTCTTGGGAACCTTTTCCAGGAAATTCAGTTGTAAAATAGTAAAGAAAGGATCAATATTCTCACCCAGTTCCAAACATGCTGTTTACGATGTATTAATTGGTGCTTTTCTTCTTCGGTTGTTAGCAGCTAATGGCTGGCCATAGGAATGTAGGCAGTCTTTCCCCTGCCTGTTTGGAGGGCTTTTCTCAGATTGAACAGAAAGACCGCCATCTCTCTGTGATCGACGAGACACCCCTCCTTTTTCATTGCCTCTTTGTGGCGACTTTAGCCCTTTCTAGGGCCCCCAGCACGGCAAAATCGGGCGCGGAAGGCAGAGCCCTGCCTTCCTGCATCTGTCTTGCCACAACGCAAAACCGGAAGTCCACACTTAGATTTCTTTCCTAAAAATCTAGGTGCAGTGAGTGATGAAGTTGTTGAAAAGTTTCACCAGGACATTGCCACAATTGAAAATGGTATAAGGCAATTGGAATCCATCTGGGCTGATTATTGTTGGACACTGTAGCAAGATGCATCAGACACTGAGTACAAATAAAAATCAGCAGCAAAACGTTTTTAGCCCTGTTGAACTCATGCAGCGTGTTGGAAATATTATGCAATTAAATACATTACATCATTAAAAGTTAATTTCATGTTTCTCAAGATTCCTATGTGATCCAGTTATTCTGAAATTATATTTGTGTTCAATTTGAAGGGGTCTGTCATAGTCAAAAGTTTTCCAGAAACTTTTGAAAAAATTGTTGTCCAGTGACATTCAGTTTATAAATCTATCTTTTCCTTATTTTTTATTCTATTCATAAGTATCTTTAAAACCAAATTAAAAATAAATTTTCATTTAATACCTTTTGCTCTATTTGCCACCTTTTCACAGTAAGTTTTCAAGAATACTTACCCAAAAGTGTCTTTTTATTATAATGGCTTACGTTTTTTATTTTCATGATATCAAATAGTAATAAAAGCTGTTTTTATAAGAATAAAATGTATAATAAAGGTGTTGATTGCCATGATGAAATTGTAATTTAAATTCATTAGCTATGAAATAGCTAATTTGATACAAAATTTTCAGTCTTTTTTCTTTCTCTTTATAGTGTCTGCTGCTTCTCTTGCTACTCCACAGACACCAGTCAGTGGACATCAGAAGCCCCAAACACCAGTTACTTCTGCATCCCTCACATCTGGCTCTTTGACAACACCTGTTCTTCCCACAGCTAATACTGCAACAGTAGTTGGTACCAGCCAGGTGGCTGGTGGGAACACACAGCCAATGTCTGTTTCACTTCAGTCTTTGCCAGTAATCCTGCATGTACCTGTTGCAATGTCCTCTCAGCCTCAGATCCTACAAGGTCACACAGGAACCTTGGTTACCAATCAGCAATCTGGCAGTGTTGAATTTATACCTGTCCAAAGCCAATCAAATGTTGGTAATCTAACCAAAACTCCTTTGTCTCTATCATCAACTAATTCAGCAAAACCAAACAATAACCCTTCAGTGTCCAGTTCAAGCATTCAGAGGAACTCTCCAGCTAGTGTTGGCTGTTCAATAGGGACAACCCTTGCAGTGCAAGCTGTTACAACAGCACATCCTATTGCACAAGCCACAAGGACTACTTTGGCTACTGTGAGTACTTCAGGAATATATACTCCTCCCATCAATAGGAACCCCATACAGATGAAGATTCCTATATCGGCCTTCAATAATTCAGTTCCTTCTGAAGTGAATACTACAACACCGAGAGTTGGTGAGTTGTTTTTTCTTTTATTTATTTACATATATTTAGAAACTGCCCATCTTCCTGATCAAATGATTCTGAGCTTTATACAAATAGATATAAAACATTTATTTATTCATTTATTTCACATTTCTATACTGCCCATTTCCCCCACAGAGGGATTCTGGGCAGTGTACAGTAAAAAGTTAAAATATAAAACTATGTATGTATGTTAAAAGAAAATTTTAAAAATTTTGAAGAGGCAAGCAATTAAAATTAATTAAAAGATGAAGAGAGGGCTTTCAAGGGACTAACCAGCCCCATAACTGTGTGCTCCTCTGGGCTCCCCAGGCGAGGGTGCAGAGCCATGTCTTTTCAGAAGACCAGGAGAGTGGCGGCCTGTCTGACCTCCAGGGCAAGAATGTTCCATAGGGTGGGGGCAATGATAGAGAAGACTCACCGCCTAGACCCTTACCAATCAGAATTCTTTAACTGACAGCTCTATAACATACCTTCCCTGCCTAGGTGGGACAGTCTGATGTAATTGGACGAAGAAAGTTCCATAGGTAATCTGGTTCTATGTTATGTAGGGCTTTATAGGTCACAACCAATACCTTGAATTGAACCCAGAAACAAACTGGCATCCAATGCAGTTTGCGGAGCAAAGGTGTTACCCTTCCTTGGATACTCAGAATTGCTTCTGTGGTCACATTCTGCACCAGTTGAAGTTTCTGAATAGTTTTCAATGATAGCCCCAATATTGCATTGCAATAGTCCAGACAGGAGATGACCAGATCATGAGTGACTCAGTGGAGAACCTCCCTATCCAGGAAAGGGAGTAACTGGCACACAACATGAAAGGCCCTCTTAGCCACAGCTGCCACCTGCTTTCTGGAGCCATGAGTACAGAAAGGCCTCCAAATTAAGTACAGGATGTGATTGGGGTAGTGCATCTATCACTTCACTCAAATGGAGATACATAACTGGGTATTATCAGCATATTAATGATACCTCATCCTGTAGTGATGGATGATCCTCCCAAGTGGTTTCATGTAGATGTTTAAAAAGAGTAGAGATAGCATTGAGCTCTGTAGCAGGCGGCATGAGTTGTAGTGCGTTTCCTCCCTCCCCCCCCTGCACTGTCTCAACACTGACTTGACTGGCCTCAGAGAAAGGAGGTGAAACTGTGCCACCCATCCCCAACTCTCTAAGGACAAGGCAAGCAAGGTTGCATGCGCCCTTCTTTGGGCATCTAAAATTGCTCATGCAGCCGCATTTGTACCACGTGAAACTGCCACATACTTTTCAAGGATAGCTCCATGTAGAGCTTCTTGAAGTAGTCCAAACGGCAGATGACTAGGGCATGAGTGACTGACCAGAGAGGTTCCCTATCCAGGAAACTGTGTAACTGGCACACAAAACAAAGCTGAATAAAAGCCCTCCTAGCTACAGCTGCCACAGTTTTTTCAAACGAGCTGTGAGTCCAGGAGCACCCTCTGGTTAAACTATCCCAGCTCTTTCTGGGGTAGTATGACCCCATTCAAGACCAAAGATAAACTCCTGAATACAGAGTAGCCTACCCACAGCTGTTTTGTTTTACCAGGGCTCAACTGAAGTCTGTTGTTCTCCATCCAGACCCCCACAGCCTCCAGGCACTATGAAAGAACGTTCGTTGCATCACACACTTTACCTGCAACAGAGATAAAATAGATACAAAAAGTCCACATACCCCTTTAAAATGCCAGGTTTTTGAGATGTAAAAATATCAGACCAAGATAAATCACTTCAGAATTTTTTCCACCTTTAATATAACATATAAACTGTACAATTAAATCAATTGAAAAGCAAACTGAAATCTTTTAGAAGGAAAAATAGAAAATGTTTTTGCTGCATTTTGCTATTAAAATAGTTACATGTCTTAAAAGTGTGTTTGTTAGGCAATGCAATGAAGTTGTTTCTTGATCTCCTTAGAGAATCAAACATCCAGATTGTTACCACCTCCACCACCAGCAGCAGATAATATAGCAAATAAGAAAGCACCTGAAGTACCATCACAGGTATGCTGGTTTGTTTGTTTTTATAGAGACTTTTATTTTTCTTCCATTCAGCAAATCAGGTTGTAAGGACCTGCCTCAATTAAGGCTTCCAAGAAAGCAGAAGTCTTGAAACGGACATCATTTCAAAAGGAACTTTTATTGGAACGTGTTGACAGCAGTAGTAGAAGGCAGGATCTCAGGTTTCTGAGTCAAGAGTCAATGAAACCCCCAGGTTTCTGAGTCAAGAGTCAATGAAAACCCCACCGCAACTGTCTATCTGAATGGTTCAAATGGGCCAATCTGCAGGTGTGAAAATGTTATGGGAACGGAGCGATAAGGCGCAGCTTCCAAGTCTTCCAAGGCTGTTAGGTCTCCGCACCTCTTCTTCCGTGCCCGGAGATAAGGCAGATGACCGGAGGCACATTCCATTCTCACTCCGAGAAAGAAACATGAAAGAGGATAGAGCAAGGAACAAAGCAAAGGAAATATACTGTAGCAACCCCAAGCTCCCCCCTCCCCCCAGAAGAATGGCAGAACCCGAAAAGAACAGGAATCCCCATGCACATAGAAAGACAGGGTTCTGACATAGGTCAATGTTGTAATTACTTATTTCCTTTTTATTTCAGGGTATTAATAGAAAGTAAATGTTACTTATTCCTTATTTATTTATATGACATAGTTTTTGAACAACAGAATCTGCCAATCCTAGAGCAGTTAGCAGTTCTTTTATATAAGGGACAGATAATAGTAACAATTAGAGAATTTTTCAAATACTACAAACAGAATTCTTTGTTTCACATTGAACAAATATACATTTCTTTGAATTCCTATCATATCTTTTAGCCAAGAAGGGGTTGGTGGACTCCAACTGCTTTAGCAACAGCGACATCTGATATGGGGACCATCAGTTGGTAAATTCTGTCCAAACTGCCAGGCTAGGTGTTTCAACATTTGGGTTAACTGGTCCATATGCAAAGCTGGTAGATTCGGATACATGAGCAAGGTATTGGCAATTTGAATGACCATCTTAGAAATTGTGAAAGGTTCTGCAGCTATAATTGATCCTTTGGTTCTAGGTATACTTCTATGAGAGCAAGGAGTAGATAGATTAACTGTTAAGCTTTATGTAGGTACAGTTGAAAAATGTAGATCATAAATAATATGGCTAGATTATTTACTCTGTTGCACTTAACAGTGAGAAAGTTGATATGCTCAGAAGGTGCTGCCTACTGCTGTACAGAGGAGTCAAAGCCTGTGTAAATCAGGGTTGTGATGTGGGTGAAATTATTTAAAATTCTGAGTGAATACAAATGAGGAATACAACTTACTTCACTGGATGACATTTATGAATGGGTGGATAGGAGATACAGAAAAAAATTATTAGGCCATTTAGAGCCCCCAAAATGAATTGTTTATTGTTTGGTTTCTTCTGTAAAAATGATACCTATGTTTCAAATGCATGGTTTAAGCAAAAAACTGTTCATGTGTACACATACTGAAGAAATGACTAAAAAAAGTTGTTTTGTTTACAATGAAAATTTGGCATTACAAAAGTGATGAGAGATTATGAATGTTGGGTTAACCAATTTTTGGTATGGTCAAAAGTAAATCTTGGGGAGAAAGATTTAGAGGAAAATGAAATAAAATACAGTGAAAGTAGAATGACTGCAGGAAGAGATAGTACAAAAGTGTTAAAAGATAGCTTATTCTTCTTACAGAATCAATGGAAAATGGACATAAGAACGCTATTTTGATCTGAGGGAAAAGAATTATGTTATAAAGTACCTCAGCAGTGTATGGAGTGATGCTAGTTGGAAGTATGAAAAACATGTAGTGGAAAGATGAAAAGGCTATGGATGAGGGAAGAAATAGAATGATTGCTGGAAAAAAAGAGGAAAGAGGGGCACATAACTAAATCAGAATATCAACAAATAGCCCGAGCCTACAAAGATGAAGTGAGGAAAGCCAAGGCTCAAAATGAACTAAGGCTTGTGACCAAAGTCAAAAATAACAAAAAAAAGCTGCTTTCAACATGTAAAAAACAAGAAAAAAGTGAAGGAAACGATTGGTCCATTAGTGGGGGAAAGTGGTAAGAAGGTGACTAGCAATAGGAAGAAAGCAGAACTATTTAACTCGTTTTTTGCATCTGTCTTTACACAAAAGGAAAAAACAGACCAACCTATCAAAAATAGTGCCATAAAAAACAGTATAGAAACACAAGTTAAGATAGGCAAGAAAATGAAAGGGAGCACCTGTCCAGCCTAGACGAGTTCAAATCACCAGGACCAGATGGATTACACCCCAAGGTTCTCAAAGAACTGGCAGATGTGATCTCAGAACCACTGAACTATATTTTTCAAAGATCTTGGAGCACTGGGGAACTACCAGAGGATTGGAAAAGAGCTGATGTAGTTCCCATCTTCAAAAAAAGAAAAAAAATGGATCCAGGAAATTACAGACCTATCAGCCTGACCTCAATACCTGGGAAGATTCTGGAAAAGATAATAAAACAACAAATCAGCGAACACCTAGAGGCAAACAAAGTCATTACTAAAAGCCAACATGGGTTTGTCAAAAACAGATCATGCCAGACAAACCTTATTACGTTCTTTGACCAAGTGACAAAATTAGTGGATCAGAGGAATGCTGTGGATATAATTTACTTGGACTTCAGTAAGGCATTTGATAAAGTAGATCACAACCTACTACTCGATAAGATAGAAAAATGTGGGTTAGACAGCATCACCACCAGATGGATTCGTAGCTGGCTAACCGGCCGTACTCAGCATGTGGTCCTCAATGGAACCGCATCTACATGGAGGGAAGTTTGTAGTGGGGTGCCCCAGGGCTCTGTTCTAGGCCCAGTGCTCTTCAACATCTTCATCAATGATTTGGACGTGGGGATAGATGGGGAACTCATCAAATTTGCGGATGACACCAAGCTGGCAGGAATAGCCAACACTCCAGAAGACAGGCTTAAGATACAGGAGGACCTGGACAGACTTGAACACTGGGCACTATCTAACAAAATGAAATTCAATGGTGAAAAAAGTAAGGTTCTACATTTAGGTAAGAAAAACCAAATGTACAGGTATAGTACAGTGGGTACCTTGCTCAATAGTAGTAACTGTGAGAGGGATCTCGGCGTCCTAGTGGACAATCACTTAAATATGAGCCAGCAGTGTGCTGCAGCTGCCAAAAAAGCCAACACAGTGCTGGGCTGCATTAACAGAGGGATAGGATCAAGATCACGTGAAGTATTAATACCACTTTACAATGCCTTAGTAAGGCCACACTTGGAATACTGCATCCAGTTTTGGTCACCACGATGTAAAAAGATGCTGAGACTCTAGAAAGAGTACAGAGAAGAGCAACAAAGATGATTAGGGGACTGGAGGCTAAAACATATAAGGAACGGTTGCTGGAATTGGGTATGTCTAGTTTAACGAAGAGAAGGACGAGGGGGGACATGATAGCAGTGTTCCAATATCTCGAGCTACCACAAAGAAGACGGAGTCAAGCTATTCTCCAAGGCGCCTGAGGGCAGGATGAGAAGCAATGGGTGGAAACTGATCAAGGAGAGAAGCAACTTAGAACTAAGGAGAAACTTCCTGACAGTTAGAACAATTAACCAATGGAACAACCTGCCTCCAGAAGCGGTGAATGCTCCAACACTGGAAGTTTTTAAGAAGAGACTGGACAGCTATTTGTCTGAAATGGTGTAGGGTTCCTGCCTGAGCAGGGGGTTGGACTCGATGACCTCTAAGTCCCTTCCAACTTTATTATTATTATTATTAAAATGACTGTACAATGTAATATGTATAAAAGTGTGCTTAACACAAATGTATGTTGCTATTTCAATAGAAAGCAAGGAATAATTAAAGCAGGCAAAGGAATTGTAGACCAATTTTGATTCAGATTATTTTTGAAAATTGAATGAAGAGAACTAAACAAGAAATCCCACTACAATTAATGGAATTAAAAATACACACAATAAATGATATCATATGAAGCTGAGACAAAGAAGACCTATAAATAGTATTTTAGATATTTTTTATGGGAATAATAATGTATGTTAAAAAATAAAATTGAAAAAATGTTATGAATGTCTAAGAAAAAATGGAGGAAAAGTGATTATATAATATTTTGAAGAATGCTAAAATGCTTTTTAAAAGGCTGTCATATATAGATTGTAATTGAAGGAATGTTTAAAATATGGATGTCATTTCCTTATGGGATAGCCTCTGAAAATTTCATGAAGACTCAGGATGGCCTATTCATCCATCCTGATTCTGCCAAAGGTCATCAATAAGTACAACTAATGGATGTTTACTGGATGTTATAAGAACAGTATATAATAGAAGTAAAGTGTAGTCAATTACAATTCAAAAAGAAGTGAACATTTTCAAGAACAAATCAATGTATGAGTAAATCTCTGAGTATATGGTAAAAGCAAGGATGGTCTGCAGGGAAACAAATTGAAAGATATTGCATATATTAAACTAGTTGTATTTCTTTTTCTTACCATGTGCATGGAATGTATTTTTGTTGCTAGTTCTTATTATTTTTCTGCACTTTGCATGATGTTATCCATTTTAGAAAATGTGCTTGTGTATGTATATACAGGTGTGGGAATGGGTTTGGGTCAACTCCGGGAGAGTGGAGGACAAGGGCGTCTGGTGTGCTGTGGTCCATGAGGTCGAGGAAAGTTGGGCATGAATTAGCGACTGAAGAACGACGACAAATATAAATGTATATAGAAAAGTGTAACCGGTACAGTTTAAAATGTGGTTTGCTTTTTGACATTTGCAAAAATACTGCAGTAATTAAATTACACTAAATTTTATAAAATAATTTCAAACTATTTTGCTTTAAAAGGGAACTGTAACAGCTAAGATTAGTAGAACATTTTATGGATGTAGTATGTGGAAAGGAGCCATCTACTTAAAAAAATATTCTTTCCTTTTAATATAAAAATTCAGATTAGTCAAGTATTCTCTTTCTCAGCCCAACCCACCTTA